GCCTTGGAATGGTATAAAATAAAGAATATACCTGCTGCTTTCTTCGTCAAGATCATTCCAATGGATTATATTCTATCAATAGTTGTTAAAAGCCGCAAATTACGATAGGAATTAACAAAAACTAGATCGTATTTAGCAAAAAAATTTCAAATTCTCAAACCGGAAGTAAGCGATCAACTTTCATGGTATTTAGTTTTGGGGGGGAGGGGGGGGGGGTCAGAGTCAAAACTAGATTTATTTAGTTTCCGATCCGACATCGAACTTTTGATGCCTCCCATTACCGTATCGAATCTTCACTTTCTGCATCTGAGACAAAGTCATCCAAATAGCGAACACTCTCTTTTACACGGGTTGAGACCCTGGTCCCAGGGCCATTTGGTCCTGGGGCTGTTACTGCTTTTTTAGATGTGACATACTTCTCATTCGTGCTGACGGATGATGATTTAGTTGATTTGGCTTGTAAAGGGCTCCTACAAACCCTATCTCTGTAACACAAATAACAGTATGAGTAAATTGTACAGTTATATAGCATATTCAGTTTGATATATTCACTTGGACATAACCCAGTCATTCGATACAACAATACATGCTAAAAATGCTAACTGCAAGTGGTCAGTTTAATGAAACTTCCCAAATAAAATGTGCTCGAAATGTAATTTGCAGAATAGAAAGAGCGAACAAGAACTATAGATTCTGACAAAACACAAATGCAGCATAAAAATTGCGGAGATATATTTATAACGTTACTCTACAGCTATTTTATGAAGTGCAAAAAGATTGTCATTTAGGAGAGCTGTCACACTTACACACAACACTTCTTGAGCTTGTTGGAACCACCAAACTTTGGCCTATCACTAGAACAAATCAAAAATAGAGCACATAACTAAATCCAAACTATTAAGCAGAACACAAAACAATACGCTGATTCCATGACTTCTGAATTCCTGTAATCTCTGTGAAATTCCCAACTTATGAGATAAATTAGAAAATCAGAATTCATGAAATGACTTATAATTCTTATATATTCTAACGCTTACTTGCATGGCTTTCTTTTAAGCCCAGGTCCTCCTTGTGCTTTACTATCTCTTTAGAAATATTCAAAATCAATTTCGTTATTTATACTTTAAAAATAATAAATGATGTAATATTCATAATAGTCCTCTCTAATTTCCTTATAAATTGCTACCAACATTATATGGCATTTGTATGGATTGTTAATTTTTATTTATGGAATAAAGTGTAACGATGATGATTAATAAGAAAATAATATAAGAAAAAAACTGAATCAATGATTGAATCATGTATTGGTTAATTTTTGATAAGACATACAGTATTTAGAGATAAGGTGTACTTTGTGATATGTTAATGTAATAAATATGATCTGTTAGTATTGAAGGTATTCTTCACAGTATAAATTTCTTTTTTCCATGGTGTGAGAAATATGTAAGTATTGCCTCAAAGAATGTTCCTTAAATGAGTGCAATTTATCATTTACAGATTTTGAACTAGAAGCATTCAAATTTTTCAAAATGTAGCACCAAGTTTCAATTCCATCTATGTAGAGTTACATGTATACACAGTACTGAGAATAAAAAATATATTTTAAATAACTTAAAGACCTTATAACAAGGTTATAATAAAAAGACTTACAGGCAGAATATACACTTTCCACAGGGGGGAGCCATGCACTCTTTGCAATCTCCACACCTTCCTGCCCGCTTTCTTATACCACCTGTCTTGGTGAACAATGTCCCCTGAAAATTGAAAGATAAGTTCAAATACGAAAAACATGTGCAATGTACTAGCTTGCACCAGTCTAGTGCATGGCTACAAAAACTTTAAATTTAAGCTAATGCTCAATTTATCCATGCGGAAACAAGGTTGTGGCAGTATAACAAATATAGTTTCCTTGCATTACATTAGGAAAGGTACAATTTGTTAAATGTATATGTACAGGGTGTCAAATAAGTCTGTTCTCCCCCCTTAACTTTTTTATCTTT